TGGCGGGAGGCCCCGGGAATCCACTGGGGGAAGGGGTATCCCTCGGGACGTCCGTGGGGAAGGTCGGGGTGTCCCATGGCGCGACTGGTGAGGGTCCAGGCTGTGCCCGGGCGGCCCGCGGGGAGGCCCGGGATGGGCTGGGTATCTCGTTGGGGGGGGGCGGGAGGTCACGCAGAGCGGGGGATGCAGGGCAGTCCCTGGGGAGTGCCTGAGCGGGCAGCTGGGTGTCCGACCGTCCCATGTGCGTCCCAGGCGTGTTTAAGCTGTCTGTGCTGCTCTTTGGCCCTACAGGTTTCCAACCGATGGGTTCCTGCTTCTGGCCCTGCTGCTCTACGCACCCGTGGGACTCTGCCTGCTCATCCTGCGCCTCTTCATCGGTGTACACGTCTTTCTGGTCAGCTGCGCCCTGCCTGACAGCGTGCTGCGTCGGTGCGTGAACCCAGCTCTCCCGAGGGCATGGAGCTCCTGCTGTTGCCTGGGGTGGGGATGTGGTGAGCAGGCAGTGCTGTGGGGCAGCATGGGGCAGGAGGGCTGCCCTCACCCATGTGGAGTCCTTAACCATGGAGGCTTATAAGGTTCATACAGAGCTTTATGGGGAGCTATGCTTTTGGGACTCTTTGTTCCCAGGACCAGCAAAAATGCCTTCTCTGCCAAGACCAAAGCTGGCAATTGCCTCTTGAGTGCTCAAGGACTGATCTGAAACACTTGGATCAGCTGGGTATCCTGCTAAGAAATTCTGTGTGTGACTTGCTGCCCCGTATTTCATGCTGCAGCTACAGCTCTGCAGGCAGCCTTCAGACCCAACTGCAGCCCCCCAGCAATTCCTGTCCCAGACATCTGTCATATCGTTTCCATTTCGTACCAGTGTCCTTTTGCAAGTCACATGATTTCCCGAGTCTCTGTTCTGTTTGTTATATGTGAGCAATGGCTCAGACTGCAGGACTTGAGGAAACCACTTTCCCACCCCCAGGTTTATTGTACGTGTGATGTGCTCAGTGCTGGGCTTATTTGTGCGGCAAAGTGATCCCCGGCTTCGTGATGTCAATGTGAGAGTGTATATCGCCAACCACATAACCCAATTTGATCACAACGTCATCAACCTTCTGACCTCATGTAATACGGTAAGTAACTTGGAGCCAGAGCATGGTAGGTCTGGAAGCACCTCCCTCTAAAAGAAGAGCACAGAGAGTTAATTCAGAATTTAGGTGTAGCTCTTAGCCCCTTCGGTTCATATTTATTAACTCAGGATTCCACATGCGTTGATTTTTTTTCTGTGGTTCAGTGTCATGCTTTAGGCTCTGTGTGAAAAAACGAAACAGAGTGAGGAGGAACAAGAAATGTTACAGCGAGTATTGATTTTATGGAAGGAGAGTGGGCAAATCTAGCACCTGTATCTTTTTCTGGCCTTTCAAGTAGGTGGTGTCAGAAGCAGGGTTGGCTGTGGGGTTTTCCCGCAGCATTGAGTCCCACTTCTGTGGGTGCGGACAGCTGGCTGCACTGCAGAGGAGGGCTGAGGGGAGCTGCGTGGTGGGGCAGTGCTGGGCTGGTGGTTGTGTAACTTTCCCTGTACTCTTGTGAAATTCCTTATGTGTGGAGTTTCTGAATCGATAGGCTCCAAACATGCCTGGGAGTGAGTTGGTTGGTCCTATATGCTGACAGCAGTAGATTTGCTCCTTACCTGGAGGAAAGTAGCTCCTGGAAGTAGTCTATTCTTTGCCAAGTGTGTCAGGAACTACTAGAGGGAGCGTGGGGAAACAAGGTTGTCGCCCAGGGCAGGGGAGGAGTCTGTTTCTCAGACAGGCAGAGTACAGTCTGAACTGAAGATTAGGAATCAAATTCCTAGGGAATGAGGGCCACAGCAGTTGCTGAAGCCTGGCAGTAACATGTTTTCTGCTACTAGTGCTTCTAGGACGTAGGTTGCTCCCTCAGCCCCCAGGAGCATTTTTGCTAATAAGTGGGAACTTCATCTCTCACTGTCATCTGGGAAAGTAGGCCTTGAAGGGAGGACAGGGCAGCATTCCTTCCTTACTCTTGCTTTCTCTTGCAGCCTGCATTGAACGGTGCCCCTGGCTTCATCTGCTGGTCACGGGGATTCATGGAGCTGGGAGTAACAGGAAGCCGAGCAGAGCTGGTGGATTCCCTGAAGGTCTATTCGTCCCACAGAGGAAACCCACCACTGCTTCTGTTCCCGGAGGAGGCAGCCACCAACGGCCGGGCTGGCTTGCTCCGCTTCAGGTACTAGGACTGGGTATTCCCGCGGCGGGGCTGTCGTCACTTTGTTTTAGCTTTGGGGTCATTCACTGCTGAATTCTTCCTTTTCAGCTCTTGGCCGTTCTCAATCTTGGATGTGGTACAGCCAGTTGCCCTACAAGTTCAGAGGCCTTTGATCACTGTGGTGAGTCAGGGTCGTAGGGCAAGGAGGAGTTGTGGAGGCGTGCACTGTTTGAGGGTCTTGGCGATGCCATTAATTCTGCTTCTGCTTTGAAGCCTGTGGGTAGTGAAGCCTGGCCTCGTGTCCTGTCACCCCAGGGAGTAGCTTCTCAGTGCTAACACTTCTGTTTTTTCACATGCCTTTGCCAGGGAACTTTTGCTAAGTCAATACTCTTTTAGTTATGCTGGCACTTTGATAAACGTTTTAGTGGTTCAGCTGTCTAACAGTGTGCTGTCTGGCTTTCATGACCGTAGCATCACAGTGTCTCACCTCTTCTTTGTTAGTCCACTTCTTTTAAAGTGCTTTGGAAGAATAGCTCCAGTCACTTTGGAGAGTGGCTGATGTGCCAAAGGTAATGCAGTGCTCTTTGGATTAGGTTCTTGGACTCATGTCTCCCAAATGCAGACATGTAACATGATGCAACATTAGCTTCGGAAAAGTGGCAAAGTTCATGATAATACTAACTCTGCTAAATAGATTGCAGTAAAACTGTTCTCGGCTTGTTTACACAGTGAGATTTTGTTAAATTTCTTGTTTCTTGATATGATTTATGGATTTAGTTGATTAAACGACACTTATGTTTTGTATTTTTCAAGCATTTTAGCTGATTCTCTATTGTCCATCTTTTTAAGGTAGTAGGACACAGTGGATAGATTTAAAGCCACTTACTAGCAGGTCACGAAACATCGCTGCATGCTAACACATCAGCATGCAGGTGTTTTTCAAGTGGGATTCTGTTAGGGATTAGTTCTTTGCCCAGTGCTATTTAGTGCTTTTATCAGCACTGCAGATGACAATATTGACATCCCTGCTGGTAAAGTTCAGGTTAACGGATAGTGAAGAAGCTAGATTATTGATTGTGATCCAGTGAACTACTGATACCTGCCAGTGAACGGCTGTTACTTGGAAGTCTAATGTGGTCTGTGGGTGCATAACAAAAGGAATATCTGGTAGGGTGAGGAACACAGTGTTAGCTGCACGTGTGCAATGGTGAAAACTGCTGCTAAAACATTATGCGAAGCTCTGTTAACCCCGCTGCCAAGAAAGTGGGGCAGTAGTAGAGAGAGTTCAAGGAGGCCATAAGCATCGTGCAGAATCCAGAGAGCAGAACTTAAAGGCACTCAGCTTAATCGGCTTACCAGAGAAAAGGCAGGGAGATTGTTGTGGATAGCTGCTTGCACGTTGGAGAAGATGCTTAAGAGTGGAGAATTATTTTTTTTCTGACAGAGCACTCAGCAGCTGTCTTTGCAGGTGCTGAGACTAAATGTTGGTACTGCACAAGTTCAGGTTTGGATTAAGATGCAGGATACTTTAAATTTTTGAATGGCTACTCCAGAGAAGTGGGAGAGCTGAATATCTTACCTCTTCATGGTTTTGGCTCCTCCGAGACAAGTTGTATATTTGTCTGTGCATGCTTTCCTTCACAAATGTTAGGGAGAACAGCATGCACAGAACTGCAGGTCTGTTTGAAGATACTGGTTGTAGTCACTTCTTGGCTCACATTTTTACCTTCAGAGGTTGAGCAGGATTTTTTGCCCTTCATGCGTGTTGGCTAAGTAAATCCTCTTGGATTTCTTATTTAATTTCAAACCATCAGAAACTTTCGAGGACTGGAGATGCGATACTTCGAATGGTTCGATCAGTGCTCAGCAAACCACCAAATTTGGTTTTAAGAAAGAATTTTCTCCAGCTCCAATTGGCTGGAACCTTGAAGGAGGGTGGTGTTCTGTGGCACAAGGCAGCATAACTGAAGTCTGGCTATAGGCATCGCTTTAAAGCATTTGACCTTAAGTTTCTTAGATCTGTTTATCCAGGAGATGAGGCTTCTTTATGTTACCCTTGGTGGCTGTGGTTTCTGGGCTTTTCTCATTTATAGCACCTCTTCCCAGGCCGGGGAATAAACCAGGCACGAGGCCTGTCTCGGAGCCACGCTGCTTTGGTCGAGGATAAAGCCATGTGTAAAAGAAGCTGAGGCAGCTACATTGCAAGCTGTAGGTCTTGAGATGGTGTACTCACCAGCTTGTGGAAAGTTTGAGCACTGCGGCACAAAAGTATCCAACTACAAAAATCCTAGGAACGATGTCTATTCAATAGCAAATGCTTTAGAATCATTGAAAAACGTAGGTTGGGGGCAATCTCTGGAGGTCTTTATTTCAGCCTTCTGCTCTCAGTCAGACTAGCTTCTGGGTACGGTCCAGCTGCTCGGGGCTGTGTCTCGTTGAGAAGGATGGAGAGCCCACCGCTTCACGGCGCCTATTCCAGTGCTCTCTGCTGGCTGGCCTTGCTGTATTTCTTAGGGAAAAGGTTATTTACGAATTTTTAGAAATAGGAAGTAATAAATTACAGCTCACCTTTAATGATTTGCCTTCAAAGAGAAGAGTTGTTTCAGACTACTTCACAGTGCAGCCTGTTTGGAAATGAAGAGATAAAGCTTACAGGAGTTGAGACATTACATGGGCTGTTCCAATCAGAATAAGGGAGGATTGTTCACAATTCTAAGGAAACATTAGTAGGTCTTAAGGCATTTTCAGTCCTGTCTAAAGGCACAGTCTAGCAGGGAATGTGGGGATATTGAGGGAAAACCTTACTGTCCTAATGGGAGGAAAAAATGCCTCAGACCAGTGAAAACTTTGACTCCTTGCTCTGCCTGGTGAAGACTGACGAAGGTGAATCTGCCCTGGGGCTTGCCCTTACTGTGCGCTGGGTTTGCCATTCCCTCTTTCCCAGTCCTCCACACCTCTCTGCCTCTGTATCTGTTACTCCCTGCCATGGCTGAGCTGTGTTCTGCCCGCCTGCTTCTGATGGAGACCGGACTAGCTCGTGTTTTGTGGGCCGTGATCTCATTGTGCTCTCTTCCCCAGAGTGTGGCTGACTCCTCCTGGATTACAGAGCTGCTCTGGACTTTCTTTGTTCCCTTCACAGTTTATCAAGTAAGGTACTATCTCTCTCTCTTCCATTTGGGGCAGGGTTTAGGGTGGGCAGAGCGCCTGATGTTTTTGCTGGTTTAGTAAGAGATCTTTTGGTATGTGCTAAAGCGCAGCCTCATTGCGATATCTCAGCATGGCTTCGTTCAGCATTATTTGGTCCATGCCAGGTCCATCTTCTGGACCAGCTTCAACCAGCTTCTGAAGTGGAGAGGGCACTTGGTTCCTGTGTTCAGTTGGTGAAGGAGCCTCTCAGGGCTTTTATGTTAAGTTTGCCGGGTATATTTTTTGAACCTAGCTGCTCTGCTGTAATTCACCCCAGGGTTGCTCAGGTCCCATGGGTGATTCCCTGCAGGCAGCTCAGTCTTCTTGCGTCTGTCTCTTCCCTGCAATCCCTTGTGAATTGCAGAGGTGGTTCAGATGCCTGTCTAGGGCCCAGGTGAGCCCAGACTGGCTGAGTAACATTGATGTAATAAGGGTCCATAGGCAGCGGAAGGGGCTTGGAGTCAAATTTAGGGGTCGGGGTATTTCAGTAAGGAAAAGTCTTGTGCTGTAGCTTTCCCCAGCCGTATCTAGCTCGAGCCTTGCTGATCTGTTTTCTACTGTCATGTAAATGGCTGTGTCTCCTCATCTGGGGCCTTTGTGGGAACTTCATTAGGAGATGCTTCGCATGTTACACTTGAACGCTAATAAAGATTCAATGAGCCAGTTTTGTCTTCTGAGCCGTGCTTTAATTTTGCAAGCTAGTGCTGAGGTTTAACACTTGCCTTTTGGGGAGAGGTTTGGGGTGAGCAGGGAGAGCTGAGGTGGGGGTAGTACCATTGCACTGTTGATCCCAGATGGGGCTGGCTCCTCCAGCAGCCCTTGAAGCAGTCAGCCCAGTGCTGTTGTCCCCATTCAGGTGGATGCCGTCTGTCCCCAGACGAGCTGAAGAGCTGAGTGAGGATTTTGCGCTCCGAGTTCAGGAGGTAGGAGGATGACTTGGGAGAGGGATGTGTAGGACTGCTGGAATTTGGGATGGTCACAGAGGAGAGTGGGGTGCAAGCAGAGTTGCAAAGGGTATTTCTGGATGGGTGTATTTGTATGATGGGAACTCTGGCCCATATTTATTGCCCCGTATAATTATTCCATTTTTCCATGGCCTATTTGCTACCCCCCGTTATCCTTTCTGCCAGTTATCAAGGCTCTCCCCATCTAGTTCATACTTTTCACTCCCTTTTTGTAACACCATAAATCAAATACAGCAATTGTTTCTCCACCTTTCCCTTATGTGCTGGGTGCTTCATAGCTCCTGTACCAAAGATCTTGTATCTCCCCATCAGCCTGTTTTGGCAGGATGATATTGTCTACTCCCGGTCCTTCATGTGCTCCATGCAACACTGAAATGCATCACTGAGGCCCTGGAGAAATCAGTTCCCAGTCCTCTTCCCCTCGACGTGGCTCCATGCAGGCCTGTACATCTGATACGCTCCCCTGCGAGATGGGCATGCCTGGGTCATGCGTGTTGCGGGGCGTGTACATGTGACTCTTCTCTACGTTTCTGCAGCTCTTGGCCATGGAGCTGGGTGTGGTATCCACACGGCTCACTGCAGCAGATAAAAGTGAACACATGAAGAGGCTGAGACACACATCGCTTCTCCCCTTTGCCCCAGGTGGGTGTCCTTGGTAGTATCCTGACTACGGAACTGCCGCCTAGGCTTTGCCTTTGGGGAGGCCTCAGTCTGTTCTTGGTTGCTCATGCGGGGAGGGAGAGGAGAAGGCTTGTTCAACATCCTCCTGGGGAGCAGGGACTGCCTGTGCGCTCTACGCTGGGGGTTGTAGCTAGCTGGTAGGGAGAGGACCACCACTCCTGAGCACAGACACGATGGTGGTGAGCAGGAAGTCGGGCTTTGTTAGCGCACCAGTTCATACTAGAGAAAGCAGAGCTGTTGCGGCTTGAAGGCCATGGACCTTTAGGCCACCCTGTTATGCCCGCTGTTCTTTCTCTTGCAGCCTCAAGCCAGCCCCTGGCAGCCAGGCCCAGGATGCCTTCCAGCCTGACCGGTGTTGCTCCTGAGGATGTGCGGATCACAGCGATGGCTCAGCGGGTCAAGGAGGTGCTGCCTCACGTGCCTCTGGAGGTCATCAGGGTAGACCTAGGTAAGCAACGCCTGGGGCATTAGCAGGGACGTGGAGTCACCTTCCATGCTAAGTCTCTGTGATACCTGAAAGCAGAACCTTGTCCCTGCTGCACTGTGGAGCACAGTGGCAGCAAGGGTGTGAGTGTCCTGATGCAGCAGCTCCCTCTCTAACACATCCTCTTTATCCCTACAGCCCAAACCAACTGTGTGGATACCACCATTGCCAACTTGCTGGAGGGGAGAGTACCCTTCTCCCCTGAAAGTAAGGAGGCTGGTACTGACCTGCCTGCCCCGTCTACCTCCCAGGCTGCAGCTGCTTCTGGCATCCAGGGCTCCGTAGCTGTGCCTTCTTCCAAGGTAATTTTGGTGGTTGTGTTGTCTACTCTGGTCTGATGGCTTGCCAGCCACAGCATGATGGCCTGTGTTCAGGACTAGTCATGATGTCAGGGGAACAGAATATTTTATATTGGAGACCGAATTGGCATGCCGGGCCCTTGCAGAGCCGCTAAGGAGGTCTGCTGCCTTTTTTTGATGATCTCCTGATGGCTCTTGTGCTTTCTGTTCCAGCCAGCTACAAAACAATTTGCAAAGTCCCCTGTGGAGCGGCATCTGTCCTTGCAGGAGCGGAAACGAGCGTTGTACGACTATGCCAGGAGGTGAGAGTCCACCCACACCTCACCCTGTCACAGTCCCAAAAACCCCTTCCCCAGCAGTATCCAGATATGCCCTAAGCCAGGGTCAGCCCTTGCTTTGCCTCATGTCCTCCCGTTCCTTTCCTCTGGCCCAAGACAGCAGGGCTGAGGCAGTGAACCGGGGCTGAAAGAGAGACGAGGCAGATGTTTGTCTGCTTCACCTCTTCCCAGCATGCAGCCGCCCCCGGTCATTCCCGGGAAGCATTCCGTCTTCTGAATTGCCACTGGACTTCTGGTTTTGGGGACTAGGTGCAATAGAAGCTGTTTGCCAGAAACACAGCTCCTGAGAAATAGAGCTTAGCAAAAAAAAACTCACTTGGTTCTTCAGTGTAACGGATTCGGCTGATAGAAGTCATCATGGGACTATAGATGTCTTTGAAATGAGTAGGCCCCCCCCCAGTCATTCCCGGGAAGCATTCTGTCTCCTGAATTGCCACTGGGCTTCTGGTTTGGGGGACTAGGTGCGATAGAAGCTGTTTGCCGGAAACACAGCTGCTGAGAAATAGAGCTTAGCAAAAAAAACCTCACTTGGTTCTTCAGTGTAACAGATTCGGCTGATAGAAGTCATCACGGGACTATAGATGTCTTTGAAATGAGTATTGACACTATGGAACACTCGTTTTTAGAAAGAAGTTTGCTGTTTGGCAGCAGGGACGGTGCAATTAATCTTCCTCGGTGTAAGCGGAGAATAACAGTGAGCAGGGAGCGAGTTTGACCTCTGTGCGTGGTTTTGATGAGGCAAATAGTGGAACAAGTGCCCAGTTCTGGTGTCTGGGTCTTTTTTTAGAACAGAGACAGAAAATTCAGAACGAATTTGGAGGGGAAGTTAAGTCTGTTAAAGTTGTTGTAAATTAGATGGCACACCATCTGCAATTCCGGGTGAAGGAACCAGGTTCCCAAAGGCGGTTTAATCTGGCAGAGAAAAGCGGAATAGTAACTAGTGGTTAGAAGTTGCAGGCAGGCAGACGGCCTTTATGCAGGTAATGGGATAGTTGTTTCTGAAAAGTGAATTTGATTCATCGGTAGAATAAGCTTCTGGCGGAAATGATGGCTCCTCAGTGCCTGGGTGTCTCCCGGTGAGGCCGGCTGACTCTTTAGAAGGTGCTGCGGAAGGTGGTAGAGGTACCGGAGGGTTTGGCTCAGCCCCGAGTGAGCGGAGGGCTGTGGGGTCGGGTCTCCCTCTGCAGGGTCGTGCTGTGAAGGGGAGAACCCATCTGGTGCCACCAGTGGGTGTCGCGCTGAGCTTTGCTCCAGAGCTCTCTGGGAGTTGAGAGAAGACCGCGGAGGCTCATGGATCAGTTAAACCTTTGAGATCCCGTAGCTTTTTGGCACCGTGACAGCTTCTCCCTATTATGGAAAGTCTAGGGAATTCCCTGGGTCGGAGGTTGAAACTCGGCAAAGTCTTAAGTGCCAGTTCCTAAAGGGCTAGTCCTAGGTGACTGCGGGTGGCTCTTAGTCACCAGGAATTTGATTTAAACAGGTCTGTTTTTCCAAAAGATCATTTCAGTTTAGAGGAATTACATCTCAGAATAGCGCTGTGCCACAGAGAGCGTTAGGGTTCCCCTTCGGAGTTGTCCCCCAGACCTGTTAACCCGAGCACAGAGGCGGCTGAGGGCTCCTGCTGGATCCACCGGGCACGATCCGTTCAAGAAAAGGAGGCGGAAATCCTTTCCCGGGGACACCCCGCCTGGCTTTGCTGCTCTTCTGCACCCCCATCTTCCGTGTCTCTTTTTTGAGGCTCTTCTGGCTGTAGAGTAGCGATCTCCGTACTTCTCTGAGAGGATGCCCATGGGATTTTGGAAAGGCGATGGTGCTCCTCATCTTCCTTTACACTAAAGAAGGGCGTTCTTTACTGTCCCAGGCTTGAGAGCGGGCACGTGTCTGTCTCAAGTTCTGAGGGACAGCAGCAACCCCTGTCACTCAGCAGTTCGGTCAGCGAGACGTGGCTGTGCTCGGGGGAGGAGTTTGCCTTCTCAGCGGGGCTCCTTCCCCAGCTAGCCCCTGTTTCGTGGTGGCACACGCGGGAGGTGGCAGAAGCTGGGCGTCCGTCGGTTCAGGGTGGTGCTGACGCGAGTCTGGTGGCCTTGCAGTGTCACCTCTCCCTTCTCCCAGGCGGAGTCTGTCTTTGCTCTGGCGCCTTTTCCCGCCTCTGGGGGGGCCTGGAGCGTTGTGCGTCCCATCCAAAATGAGGTGTAGGGCTTTAGCTCCCGCAGCCCCATACTTGGGGACAGTTACAGCTTTTCACTGCTTCCCCTGTCCTTTTGAGCTTGTGCAGGTGGGACACGTTGGGGGCAGGCAGGTACTGTCACACGTGGGGTGGCCAGAGGGGGACACCTCGACCGGGAAACCTCCATGCCAAAAGCTGGACAATGACCTGTTCCGGGCACCGGGATACCGGGGGGGGGAGGGCAGAAGGGTCACCCCGGGGTTCTCTCCTCCCTGTCCCACCCCCTTCCCCTCGCTTGGAGGGAACTTCCCGGGAGGAGGTGGGTTCCCGGTGTCGGGACAGCCTCCCCCCCC